GGTTGAGTCACCATCCCTGGAAGTATTTAAAAGACGTGTAGATGAGGCACTTAGGGACATGGTTTAGTGGGCATGGTGGTGTTGGGTTGACGGTTGGACTCGATGATCTTGGAGGTCTCTTCCAACCTTAATGATTCTATGATTCTATGATTCTATGATTGATTTTTCCCCCCCCGGTGAATTCGAACAATTAAAAAGCAAAGGGTGAGAAACTGTGTATCTGGAAGGATCTGCTACTGAGGTTTTCTGGATGGGCAGAAGAGCAGAGCTCTCTCTACTGCAGAAACAACCAGCTTTCTTCAATATGCGGGTTTCAGACCATCTTCCTTCTGAACTGGAAGGGCAGAAAGGTGACTCTACCCTTGAGACGCGTCAGTTGACGGCCACGCTAGTCTAACACGTTTCCAGGGTATTGCTGTGTGATTCCTATCTTGCCGTCGAGTGCCAGAATCACACCGGCAATCAGGCTGCAGTAACGTGAAGGACTGTGAAGAGGGCGTGAGCTTTCATGGTGCGGTGAGGCGGTACTTTCTGAGGCAGAGTCCCTGCCCTGCTGATGCCCAGCTGTGACTGTGATAGCAGATCTAAAAATTACTAGGGTGAATAATACCAAAAAGCGGCTGGAGTGTAGCAGCGCTGATAAGGCCTCAGCTGGAGCACTCTGTCTAGTTTCAGGCAACAGACATCAAAGAAAGGGGCATGCCAACTGTTGGCTGCCAGGGAAAAAGGGGAAAATAGGCAGAGATTTAGAAAGCATGACTGAAGGGAAGTGAAGTTTATTTAATCTAAAAGAAGGGAAAACAGACTGAGAGTTAAGTCCTCAGGAAAACAAAAGATGATGGAAAAGATTAAGCTGTTCTCCTTGTCCACAATAGAAAGGATTAGAAATGCTGGTTTCAAGTTGAAACAATGAGACCGAGGTCAACATTAGAAAAGACGTTGTTTGGGTGCTTATGTCCTGAGACATTACACAGGGAGACTTGGCCTCTGTAAGGAGTGACTA